TGTATGTTCATGTATAAATACATTTTTGAATGTTTATAGAGATTTGATACAACTGGATAAAAGTTGTTTACAAATAGCCTTAACCATATTTAGTTCCTTACACAATGCAATAAATATTGGTTCTTTATATGTTGTTTACACACATTTCCTTTTACAATTTCTATAGTAAGTGTTATGAAAAATAAGAGTAATATATAGTAAAAATAATTACTCATATGAAGAAAATAATATTGAACTTTGGTTGGTTTTATTGTAAATAGTAAATAACTGCAAATAGAAAATAATCATAAGTAACCATCATTGCATACAAGAAGAACATGCAATGTGGAAACTTCTCGATATCTATGTAACGATCCATTTTTTGGGGGGAAACTAGTTCTTGATACCCATGTAATTTAGTCACTCATTTTTATGGCAAAATTGATTACAAATCAATTAACCAAATAATTGTAACCTCCTTCGACAATAATAACCATATAACATACATTCAAAACTGAATTTGTATCTTCCACTTATTATTTATGTTGGTGGTATTAATGGCCTTTACTTAATTTCTTAATATATAAAATAGTTATTTATCCCATATGTATAACCATTTTCTTTGTATCATCTCATAAATGCTTTCACACACAATGTCTATCTTTTGCTCAAACAAATAAGTTATGCTTTTCATAAATAAAGATATCACATATGATCCAGAACGAAGAAAAATAATAGTAGCTTCATTAGAAGAAACCATAAAACCTTCTAATGAGCGGAAACCATAAAAGCTTCTAATGAGCAGATGTATATATTGGAGAATATTTGTTCTTATCCACTCTCTTCGAGTACATTGATGGAAAAAGTGTTACTATACAAGTCATGTACATTACATACCAAGCTTATATATTCTTTAGGGTTAATGTCATAAAAATCCTCAAGTTTTTAGAGTTTTGTCGGTTTTGCCCAAAGTTGAATTTTATGTTCGTTTTTACCCTCACATTTTCCAAAAAATGTTCGGTTTTACCCTTTTACCGGTGATAACAGGTTTTTTAGGTTAACATTATTTTATCTTCGCAAAAAAAAACCCTTAAGTTTACAGTATTTTTACGTTTTTACCCTTAATTTTATAATTTTTTTATACTTTTACCCTAAGTATTTTTTTTATATTATACGTATTCATGCAGAAAAATCGTATTTATATACAAAAAAAGTTTAATTAAATATTGTATTTACATTTTTTAAATGTTATATCTTTATGTGTGTGTGTATATATATATATTATATATATATATATATATATATATATATATATTCCTTGGATAAACCGTTTAAAATGTAATAAAAAACAAATTAATATGTTTTTAGAACTACAAATCCATACTTTTATGTATTTAAAAATATACATATAAATAACAAAACTTGTTCAATCATAAACATGTTTATATATAATATTAAAAAAATATAAATACAACATTTAATTAAACATTTTTTCGTATATAAACACGATTTTTTTGCATGAATACGTATATTATGAAAAAAAATACTTAGGGTAAAAGTGTAAAAAAGTTATAAACTTAAGGGTAAAAACATAAAAAACTGTAAATTTAAGGGTTTTTTGCGAAGTTAATATAATGGTAACCTAGAAAACCTGTTTTCACCGGTAAAAGGGTAAAACCGAACATTTTTTAGAAAATGTGAGGGTAAAAACGGACATAAAATCCAACTTTAGATAAAACCGACAAACCCTGAAAAATTGAGAGTTTTTATGACATTAGCCCTATTCTTTAATGGAGTTGACTGATTTTCTTGTAGAGAGGATCAAGACAAAGATAGATTTAAGTGATGAGTGGATGAAGGACTGAAGGGTTAACGGTTTTTTGGCTTTTTCTTTTTGTTATTCTGTCACTTATGTTTTTTAGTTTGGTCGTGTATGTTTTTTTAATGTTAGAGTTTAATTTTGTTCTATTGTGTTTCAAAATTTTTAAAGAAGGTATAAAGCAAAAACAGCTAACTTGGTTTATTTTTATAATTAGAAAAACTATTTTACTTTTTATATTCTAGGAATTGATAAAGAGAAAGAAAGAAAAATGAGAACATGATTTGATTCCATGATACTAGAATAGTCTTAACCAACTCGACACCGAGCATATTCAGCAACCAAATCAAGTTCAAGTTTTCACAAATCACCGAATTTATTTCCTCGATGAATGGCCTTCCCATCAAACATATTATATTATTTTTCCTTAAGACCATCTGGTGCACCAAATAAGTTTTTATGCTTAAACATTTTCTTGAACTAGGAGCTGAACTTTTTGCAGGTAGTATTTGTATATGTTATGAATTTGCGAATAAGTTTTTGTTTACAATTGTGAATATTGTTAATGATCACACATGTTTATATTTAAAAAAAATATTAAAGAGTGATTACATTTCACTTTATTGATGTTTTTAGTGATATCGATAGTTGTAGGACGATTTTTGCGTTTGTTTTTACAATAAGAATCCTTTTTCTTGTTATATTCATGGATAGACAATCGGAATGGATTGTATCAAGAAAGAAATGCAAAATACGACAAAAGTCTATTTTATATAAATTAGAATAAACAAGGGAAAATATACAATGAGATTAATGAGAGTATCAAAATTTAATATATACATGAGTTTTTCAAGTAGTGATACGTTACACCTCACTCCACCCTCAATCACCATTTATACCTTTTCCAAAGTTGTTTGATGTTGCTTGGCCCTCTTGACTACTTTCAAAAACGTACAATCGTGTAATATCACTGTTTATAGAGTTAAGAGAGGAAACATAATTTTGAAAGTATTGTTAATTTATGTTATAGACTATTTCTGTTGTGTCCCATGTCACTTGCACCTTTTTCATCCTTTCAATAACCACTCCAAAGCATATTGTATTTCTATCTAAAGATCGGTTCTAATACAAAATTTTGAAGTTTACATTTATAGATATGTAAGGGATTCTTAGAAGTGCAATTTTAGAGGTAAGTGAGTATTAGTGTATGCTAAGTGTAAGTTTATATACTAATGTAATATTATATGCATCTTCATTAACTTCTAGATTTAAAATAATTTTATGCATGTTTTGGGATATAAGGTTTCCAGAACTTTGAGGTTTGGATGAAATGTTTTGGTGTCTACACGCTTCATAAATAAACATACTGATCGTATGAAACTATTAGATGCATTATCATATATTTATTATGTGAAGCATTCACTTAACACGTGACCTTTGGGTTGCTTAAACAACCGTTTTCAGTTTATAAATGCATTGTTCTCTCGCTATTTATAGCCATTCAGCGTACTCATTAGAATATTCTCTCTCTCTCTCTCTCTCTCTCTCTCTCTCTATATATATATATATATATATATATATATATATATATATATATATATATATATACACACTAGCCGTTTACCTGCGCTAAGCGACGGGTGCGAATAATTTTTTCAGAAATTAGTTTATACAGATGATTTATTTTTTATATCGATTTTGAACCGATTTTTATTTTTTAAAATCATTTTTTTAGACCGGTTTCAGTTATGATTTCGGTTTGTTTGAAATAAAATTTAATTAGAAACGGTGTTAAGACCGCTTTGGTTATATTAGAAAAATTGGAATACATCTATTAAAACCAATTACTAAATGGCGGTTTTGTTTTAACCTACCCAATTCTCAAAAAAAAATGTTTGGTTTTTCTTTCACTTAAAAAAAACAATTTTAAATACGCACCTCTAATGGGGGAGAGCAAGCAAAAAATGATATTGTTTTTCACACGAATAAGCATCAGGGCGATCAGGAGGATCAGTTAACTTTTGATTACGGTTCATTTTTTTCATCAAAGCCAGTTTACTATTAGTTTGTTGACGAACTAATAGTTATATTTCAATTAATGTTCACCTATTTATCATTAAATTTTATTATGCATTAGAACCTGACTTAACACCCATTGCTTCTTAATATTTTAAATTCACAATTCCAATGATTTTTTTATATTTTTTGTGATGGATATTATAACATTTAGTGCAAGTCAATATGTTATTTGAATGAATAAATTAGAAATGAAAAAATCACATCGAATACAATGCATACATATATTTTATCAGTTTGTGGTAATTTATGTCTTTACAACATAACGCTAATCTTGATTGGGACAAGATCATTCCATGTAAGGTCATCCCATCCCCTACCAACAAAGTGGGGTTATCGATTAAAGATTGACAACAACCTAATAAAAACAGGTTTCCATACATAAAACTATCTCATCATACTGATGAATATCGACTTAAATCATTATTAAACATTCCTTGCTATAATATAATTGCATTGGTCTTAAGTGATAACTGAATATCAAAAGTATATTCATAGCATATTAACCATACGCCTTTCTGTACCAAAATCAATATCATCAATAAATCCATAAATACAACAAACAATGAACACATAACGTACAAATGAAAGACAAAAAATAATAACAAAGTGAATTAATAAAAAAATTACAAAAAATGGGGGAAATACAACTGACAAAAAAACAACTAAACAGTGTTGCTTTTCATAAAATTAACCCCCATCAAACAATAAAATTATACAAAGCCTTATGAAATTAACTCGACAACCAACAAAAGCTCTTTACAAGAGAGTTGGTTTCTTCCATTATTAACTCTTCTTTTCTCTGAAGTCAACAGCTCTCGTAGTCAAAAAGTCAAAATACAAAGTCCGAAATTTAATTTTGTGTAACAACTCCTACACATTTTTGGACGCCTCCAAAGCCACATGTGGGACCCACAACATACCTATTGATTCATTTTCCTGACACAATCCTGTAGTTGAGAACAAGATCCTCAGACTTTTTCCATATGTAAGTTCGAATAGTGGCTAAGCTCATTTTAGGTGCTAACACCTGCATACAAAAGATCAGTTTTAAATTTTTTTTATTTATTAAGACATTGTACTTCAAATTTTACCCAATTAAATAAAATAATCATTATGAATAAACTCATGAACATGCCTGATTATTGCACAAGATCTCTATATAAGGCTTAAGCTTCCACGGCTTCAATCCAGGAGCAAAAGCTCCATCACTAATCAAAGTATCTGATGACTTCTGTAGAACCATCTTCTCCACAACATAATTAACAACCTGCAACAAAAATAAAAAAAAATTAAAAACTCATATTATGGTGATTATAGTAATATATCGCACCTTATGCATTCTTAAAATCCGAGGTGCACTCAGCTTCCCTTGTGTCAAGATCTGAGCAGCTGAACCTTCAAATGGATGTAGATAAAAACTGCATCTGAAAAAGCAAAGAAACTTGAATGAGCATCTTTACTTTATAAATACTATAATATTTAAAACGTATGAGATAAAAAGTAACTACTTACTTGGTATGTTCTCTTGGTGGCATCCGATTATGCAAAATAGCATCTAAAACCCTACGAGGGAAATCATCATCTTCAATTCCAACAAGATGAGTAATTTTCTTCCTCCATATTCCATTTTGAGAACTCTCATTAATAATTGAAGGAGGAGAAGCAATTGAGAATTGAAATGGAGGGTAAACTCTGGAATCACTTTGAACATCTGCTTCAGGTCTTGAAAGTGGAATGTTTTTGGAAGATATATCTTTGATTGGAGCTTCTCCATTGACTGAAGGTTGGGATATGAATCTAACTTTTTTCTTGGAAAAATAATGAGCCAGTAGTCCTTTCAGGGTTTCTCGACCTAAATTAATCTGCAAAGATCAAAGAGATTGTAATTTGTAAGTGGTCAATGATGTTTTTCATTATTTAATTCAAATCCAATGTGTGCACCTTGTCATCTTCAGATTTTTGAGTGATGCTGAGGTCAGCAGCATACATTTCTGCAGAAAAACACTGAGGGATATCTAAATGAATAGACAAGCTTCCAAGCCTAGTATCTACAGTAAACCATGCAGGAATGCTGACCTGGAAAATAATATATAAAATCAAAATAGGAACATATGAAGATTATATATATGTATGTGTATATATATATATATATATATATATATGTATATACATATATAAAGATCTATATTCATACATACCATCTCAAATAGTTGTTCCTTTTTCTCTTCAAATGAAACTTGTCCATAGTCTTCAATCACAACACCTTTAGTGATTTCCCAAAGCTTCACAAAACCACCATTATCCTATCAAATTGACACTTCACACCATCAGTTTCAAGTTCTTCAAGAAAAAAACGAAAAGTGTTCTTTTTTAAAAAATGTAAAAAAGAAAAAGGCAAAAGATTAAGATTATTAAGATTACCTTGGTGAGGACATGTCTTCTATTGTTCAATATTTCATGTTGAACTATACCTGGAATTCCATCAATAGTTAAGGTGGGAGATTTATACACAGGAACCTACACATGAATTACATGAGTTAGATTATGTAAAGAGGTATGGATCAACATAAACCCAAAAAAGAAAACTCACAGGGGTAGATCCTTCTAAAGAAGCTCTTGCCTTTGAAAAAGACAAATTTCCAGCAAGAAAGGAACCACCTCTTTGAAACAATTTTTCAGGGTTCAAGTGTTCAGAAGGCCATCTGTCCACAGAGGAATCTGTTGTTGCTACCCAAATTCCATTATCATCTAATGCTAATTACTGAATAGGATGTTCCTTTGTGCAAACCAATAAGCTATCTCTTGTAGAAAGATCTGTCAAGTACAACTACAAGTAGAAACAGATCATATTATTATTAAATGATTGATAATTATTATAATAAGTTAATAACATATGCACTCATAAAGAAATAGAAATAGACTCACAGAAAGATCTCTTCCACCACTCACAGAAATAGAAATAACTACTTCACTTAAAATGAGTACTCCTCTTTTAGCATCTTGGCATGTGAGAAACTCGTAACTCGATGGATGGAGATTTGTAAGGATAAGCATCTGGAAGTCAGAGGAAAATGCAAAATTGTCACAATTTAGTAATAAAATTAACAACAAACCTTTCTTGAAGGAAACCAATTGAAAATCCAAACCCAAATCTTTAGGATTTTGAACCGAAAAGAAGGGTTTCCAGTGAATGGTGTGTGAATCAGGTAGAAGCGGGTGATGCATGTCTGGTGGCGATGGTGTGTGAATCAGTTTGTTATGGGCGGCTTTTTTCTGTTTGGAAATTATTAGCAAAAAGTACCTCATTGGTTTTTAAACCAGTATCAAGAAATCTTGGTCAATTGGCGAGAAAGAACAAGGATTTTTCCTTCAAGCCCGAGAATAGAGATGAAAATGAAATATTGTTGTAATTTGTTCAATATAAGAGATGAAAAGATGAAAAGGAAGTTGTTTTACGAGAGATTTGTAAAAAGAATGGAGGTGGTACGATGGTTCTTCCAGAGGCATAGATCGAGTGAGATAGAGATGAGAGATGATATGCTTCAGTTTGCCCTAAAGCAAAAGTATAAAATCGGTAAATAAACATACCTGATGAACCAAACGCAAACATGACTTCTTCTCTTCTTGATCACAGTGGAGGTTTATGCGATAATCATGGAGAGGCTACGATCACTGATGGAGAGGAGGCCGACATGAAACCCAGATTCAAGATGGTGGTGGTAGCAGATGCGTAAGAAGGGTCATGGTAACATGAGGTAATTGTGATTTAGGGTTTCTCGATGAAGACGACTGATTTAGGGTGATTTAGGGTTTTAGTGAGTGATTGTGAGTCTAGGAATTTATTTCCAAAGTAATTTCGTTCCGTAAACAATTCATGAGTGTAGCTGTATTGGATAATAAGTTGTTCACGAGGCAGTAGGTGTTGTACCTCTTAAATTTCAAGAAACAAGCAATATGTTTAATAATATAGTATATATATATTATATATATATATATATATATATATAACTTTTCCTTTTGTCCATCTCTCTCTATCCATCTTTCTTTCCTTCTCTTTCTCTCTCTCACTCTCTTTTTCCCTCCCTCCTATTTCTCTCTATTTCCCTCTCTCTCTCTCTCTCCCCCTCTTGCGTTCCTCTTGCATCATATTAACTAACACATGTAATGAGAAAGACTACAAATATGAGGTGTATTTGTTTTTGGAAGCATAAAACTAGAAACTAGAACTCGAAAACACTTTGATAATTGGTAACAAAAGTTTGCTTGAATCCAGTTAACCCAAGAAAAGGACAACATGTTGATAATAGATAATAAAACTTTGCTTGAATCTTGTAAACCATAAAAGGTTAAGGGCATGAGGGATGCAACACTTTTTAAAGTTAGAAGTTTGGATATAATATTTTATTCTAAACAAAACTGTATTGATAATGTTCTTACTGGATCCTTAGAGGAGGTTTTCCCATGCCTTAAAGAATAGGATAAGCATCTCAATACTTTTGTTACATTTTTGTAAGAAAGACTAATATTTTAATATGTATGAAATCTTTTTGTTTGAATGTAAATAAATAAAATATTTTTGTTTAAATATTAGTATTGTTTGTAACCTGTTTTAAAAAAATAAATATTTGCAACCATTGTTTACACAGGACTATCTCCTATTATTTATATTTATATATATATATATATATATATATATATATATATATATATATATATATATATATATATATATATATATTTCCAATTGCATTTAAAGTTAGATTTTTTTTCCTAAATTGTTTATATTTTTTTATCATTAATATATATGATCAATAAAAATATTATAATCCACGACTCTATCCGAACATAGAACAACTAATGCTTGACCAGTTTACTTTTTGAATTATCAAACTGTGCCAAAATTGTCCGCACCATACCACATATGCGGTTTACAGCTTTGTGGTGCGGTTTTCAAAAAAATCTCAAACTACACCCACATTGCGGTTTACGGTTTTGAATCTAAATCATACCACACCGCATTGGAAACACCCTAATTATAGTGTGTGTGTGTGTGTGTGTATATATATATATATATATATATATATATATATATATAGGGCTAGGTTATAATGTGGATGAACAACTATTGTGCGGACGTGTGAACAATGCTACTCTATGAGAATTACTAAGAGAATAAGTTGTTTGCTAATGTGAATACGTTCAACCTTACACAACTATCGTCATTTTCATGCATTCTCAGTAATTATTATTCATTTTTGTTCTTATGCATCGTTTTTTTACTCATTTTCATTCTTACAGAAAACGGCTCAATAAACATTCTGACAACATTCTGACAGAATGAGAATAATAAAAAAAAATTCTATAATAACCTTATAGATGATTTAATTAGTGAGAATGTGTAATAATGACAATAGTTATGTAAGATTGAACGTATTCACATTACCAAATAACATATTTTCTTTGTCATTATTATAGAATAGCACTGTCCACACGTCCGCACAATAGATGTCAATCCACATTTGAACCTAGCTCTCTCTCTCTCTCTCTCTCTATATATATATATATATATATATATATATATATATATATATATATATATATATATATATATATATATATATATATATATATATAGGGGTTGGATACATTACGATCACTAACTTTTGTAGGATCAAATAAGATCACATTTTCAACCCTTATTTTAGAGCTTATCTTATATTGAAAAAATAAATAAAAATATATAAATTCATCAATTTTCAACCTCTTTCCATATTAGTATTCGAAAAAAAATTGTAACATGTGCATCACATGCGCATTATTTGGAAAAACACTTTTTAGAGCTTATTTTTTATCGGAAAAAAATAACCAAAAATATATAAATTTATCATTTTTTAACCTCTACCCATACTTATGTTAGAAATTTTTCTTTTTTGCATATAACGTAAAATGTGCACCATATGCACATAAGTAGAAAAACGTTTGTTTTGAATTTCTTTTTCAAAAAATCACCTTCTATAGCAGTGTCCTAACTTATTAAGATGTTTTTTTATATGTACATTAATATGCATATATGCAGATGTGCATATATGCAGACATACATATACGCATATTTTCATTTTGTGTATATGTGCATATGGTGCACATTTTACGTAATTTTTTTTCCAAATAACAATAAGGAAAAATGTTAATAAATTATAAATTTACATATTTTTAGTTAATTTTTTTTCGATATAAGATAAGCTCTAAAACCAATGTTGAAAAGCATGCACATTTGAGTTTGTGCATATACGCACATTTTTTTTAACTTTTTCTAGATATGTTTTTTCTAAAAACATTTTAATTAATTAGGATGTTGATATAAAAGTTGAATTGTTAAAAAAATTTCAAAAAAAAGTATTTTTTTTACAAAAAAAATGTGCATACGGTGCACATTTTTCATAAATTTTTTTTTTCAATCATTAATATGGAAAGATGTTGAAAAATGAAGAACTTACATTTTTTTTCGATATATGATAAGCTCTAAAATGCATTTTTTATAAAAAATGCGGATATGGTGCACATTTTTTCATAGAAAAAAAACTTATTATTTTTTTTCGAATATCAATATGGAAAGAGGTTATAATTTACAATTAGATTACGACATCCCTTTTCTAAGTTGTAAATTATTTAGTTTGATCCTAGCCTTGATATTTCATTTTCGGTATTATATTGAGAATTATTCTTATCTAACTAAAACTATCTTTCTTTTACAGATGTCTACTCTAAATGTTGCTTCTGGTTCCTCCTCCTTCAACCATAACTTTTCCTTGTTGAACATCTGCTCTAAGGTGCAATTGGATGACATCAATTACAATGACTGGATGTGCAACATAAAAATAGCCCTTCGTTTCAAGGACAAGGAGTATGTCCTTGAGAGACCATTGGATGAGATCAACGAAGAGAAGGTCACTCCTGAAGAAATGGTCGGCTACAAAAAAACAATACAATGATGCGACAAAAGTTTCTTACATCATGGTGGCCACAATGACTCCTGAATTGCAAAGATACTATAAGGATTACTGGTCGTACGAGGAGAACAAGGACCTTATGGAAAAGTACCATAAGCGAGCTTGTTAGGAAAAGTATGAGGTGGTAGCAGCCACGTTCAAAGAATGCAACGATACGTGGCAGGCTTGTCAAGCTGAATGTGAATTTTGATGAAGAGTTGGCAATCGACATAGTGTTGAACTCCTTGCCAAGTTGTTATGATCAGTTCATATTTACGTATCATTTGAACAACAATGAAACTACTTTGTCTCAATTGCATAACCTCCTATGAACAGCTGAAGCAGGAATGAATGCAAAAAAGTTTTGCATCCACTCCTACTAGTGCTCCCCTTCTGGCCATTGGTCAAGGGAAAGGGAAAAAGAGAAAAGGTCCTCCCAAGCAAAACTGGAAGGGAAAGTCTCAAGCTGGGTCGTCAAGCAATGGACCCAAAGGCAAATCCAGTTCTAATGCTCCCCTGTCTTTGATCCCAAAGAGGCCACTTGCTTCTACTGCAACGATAAAGGGCATTGGAAACGAAACTGCCCAACATATCTGCAAAACATCAAACACGGAAAAGTGAAGTTGACTTTTGCAGGTATATACACTATCTTATCTGAAAAATCATCATATTCTCGTTCTTGGGTCCTTGATACAGGATGTGGATTTCACATTTGTTCTAATTTGCAGGGGCTAAGAAGAAGTGGGGATGTGGAGCATGGAAGAATAGTGATCATGGGGAATAGGCGATCTTCACCTGTCACCAAGATTGGAGTTTATAATATTGTGCTTAATGATGGAGTTAGTTTAGATTGTTGCTACTCATCAAAAATGTCACGAAACATTATTTCCTTTCATGCATTGTTTAAACAAGGTTTTAGGTATTCTTTTAATGATGAGAATGGTTCTATTTCTTCTTATAAAAATGGTACTTTTTATTTTGAAGCTTTACCTTGTGATGACATGTATGAAACTGTGATGTGTGTAGACAATTTAGGTAATATTGTATTTCATATTGATTCGTTTAATGGTATAGAAAAAGCGTGCTTGTGGCATTATTGTCTTGGACACATTAACAAGAAATGCATCGCCCAACTTTAAAAGGATGGATTGTTGGAACCATTTAACCTAAGGTGAGATGATGAATGTGAATCTTGTCTTTTGGGTAAGATGACAAAATCACCTTGCACTGGTTCTTGTGAAAGAGGTGAAGGTTTGTTAGATCTCATACACACATATGTATGTGGGTCTTTCAGATCCACCACAAGGGATGCTAATTGAT